TGCTGATGGAAACTAACAATAACAGGTGAGATATCTTGGACATGTACTATAAGGAAGTTTGCTGATGGAAACTAACAATAACAGGTGAGATATCTTGGACATGTACTATAAGGAAGTTTGCTGATGGAAACTAACAATAATAGATGAGATATCTTGGACATGTACTATAAGGAAGTTTGCTGATGGAAACTAACAATAACAGGACAATTAGAAGGAAAAAGAGCAAGGGAAAGCCAATGAAGTGGTTAGACAGCATCAAGAGAATAACTGGTTTGGCAACATTAGAAGTGATTGATCTCAACAGAAATATAGAGAACCATAGCCACCATCCCCTGGAACATAGAACTCACCTCTGACTGATTGATAAATCATTAGATTGCTGTTAAATCCTCCAAAAATGCCCATTCTTGGGAAACTGAGGATTTATCAAGAGTTGCACAGCATATCTTAAAAGGTGTAACATTAGTATTACTAGTGAAAAACCTTGTAATAGTTAGTTGAACATAGGGATGTACCATTATCACTTTTTGTCTGGTAACTAATACCATGTTTTAAAAGACAATTTTGCATGATACTGATAACTTGGATTTAACTGTGACTTAAGGGGGGGGGACACATTTAATAGTAATTAATGTAGAAATTCTTCTTTCTCATAAGTAATAACAAGTACAGATCTGCAAGCAATAGCAACTCATTTTACTGGAATAAGATTGGGTCTAACAACAGACAGGACAATAGGTCTCAGACTGATTTCAACTTAGAGCATGAAATATCTATATAGGATTATATATTCTTGTATAAACTTAAATCTAATATCGTCTTACGGCTCAAGCAATACATTTCCAGTGGTTACATAGGTGATTTTTTTTTCTAGTTTTAATTAACAAAGACATAAGATGAAGAGTTATTGGTCAATATTTTCTAAATATTGCCAAAATGGATGACATGGCAGATACAAGCATGCCAGTAAAGCCTTGTTTGATTTGAGGATGAGTAATTGAGAGAAGTCATGAAAGTTTCACAACTATAAAGCTGAACTTGACATTAAGCCATTAAAGTTTGGTGACATTACTTGTTCTCAAGCTGTAAGCTGTTCGGCTATATTTTTCTCATTTCATCAGCAATTTCACCAAATTTCAGAAATAATTTATCAAAAAATATTTATTTCAAAATATCGGGTACGAACTTTACAACAGTAATGTACCTTTATTAGTGTAACTAGTAATATCGTATTTAAAACTGTTTTTTATTAAGACTCTGGAGTCTTCATTCTGTTCTTATTAATCAACATTGTGGCACGAAGAGTTTCCTCTATAATATTTATGTAAAATATTAATCTAAAAAGTTCCCATTGTGGAGATTTTTAATTTTTTTTTTTTTGATAACTTGTTTTGCTCCCCCAGTGGCACAGTGGTTTATCTGCGGACTTACGATGCTAGAAACCGAGTTTTGATACCTGTGGACAACAGTCAATCATACAATGTCCTGATTTATCAAGAAGGACACTTCAGTAATAGTTAATCGTACAACTTACTGACTTATGTCTAAGAGAACATCAAACCTTACAACTCAAATATCTGTAAAGCACTGTAAGAATTTACTCACATAATTCAAAATAAATTTAAAAAATTATGTTTCCTTAGTATTTTTAATACAGTTTCTAACACATATTGAATCTTTTCCCAACCTTAAATTGTGACAATATTGCTTCAACTTGAGTGTAGAGTTGAGACAATTGTGTAGTATGTGTAGACAAATCTTCAGCCTGTAAAGAAATAAAATTAAGAATTAGGTATTAGACAGAGAAAAAATCAACACGAAACTTAATCTTCTAAGATCGTACTTCACACTAATTAAGAAATGTTGAACATAAACAACTCGTTTGTTTGTAATTAAGCACAAAGCTACACAATAGGTTATCTGTGCTCTGCCCACCACAGGTATCAAAACCCGGTTTCTAGCATCGTAAGTCCGCAGATAAACACACAATAAGTTATCTGTGATCTGCCCAAGAAGTGTTCTCCATGATAGTTAGATAAATCAGGACAATATATGGTTGACTGTTGTAGAAGTGTTCTCCATGATAGTAAGATAAATCAGGACATTGTATGATTGACTGTTGTAGAAGTGTTCTCCATGATAGTGAGATAAATCAGGACATTGTATGGTTGACTGTTGTAGAAGTGTTCTCCATGATAGTAAGATAAATCGGTACATTGTATGGTTGACTGTTGTAGAAGTGTTCTCCATGATAGTAAGATAAATCAGAACATTGTATGATTGACTTTTATTGAAGTGTCCTCCACAGTAGTAAGATAAATCAGTACATTGTATTATTGACTTTTATTGAAATATACATTTGGTAGTGAAATAAATAAATGTTATAATTGAACCATGGTACAAGGATAAGTCAGTACAAGAAAATTAATTCTTGTTGTACTATCCATATTAATAGTAATAACCTTTGTTTTGACACAACACTTGTATTCATTGTATTTATATAATATTAGTATATACATTTTTTGTTCTGTCGTGTAGCATGTGAATGAAGAAATAAGATTGTTGAGGACAAAAGTCGAAACTGACGATACAAGGTAAGATCTTTTGATTTTTTGTGTTTCTTTAAAAAAATGTAATTTCATTCAGTATGTAAAAGTAATAATACAAAATGGTTTTCACTTGCAATTGAATAAATTTTACAGAATTGAATGAACTATTTAATTTTTACTAAGTTATATATCTTCAAGTATTTGATATTCAAATCATGAAATAATACTTTATATTTCAAATAGAAATGTTTTCCATAATAAGGAAAACAATTTTTATTTTAATGACTATAGATAATGTGCATATAAGTTAATTAGTTGCACTAAAATTAAGAAAAAAATATTATGGAAAATGTTTTTTCTTCAGAATCATGAAATAACCTAAAGTATAATTTTTGGTTATTGAGGACATCAGTTGCTCTTTGATAGGCAAAGGTTTCATTTTTGTTAACCAACTTTGATTATCTATACGGACGAAACCACTGTAAGCACAGAAACCATTGAGGCCATGTTTTTAGAACACTATATAGATAAGGATAGCGGGAATCCTATTAATCCATTCATACATTAACACTGATTAGAGAATGAAGCATTTGACTTTTTTATTTCTTCCAACTCTTAACAGTTAGATGACAAGGGTTCGTACCCCAAGTCCCAACTTCCTGTCTCTTGACTAACCTAAAATATATACTTTTACGTACAAATTTAATATAGGACTGGACTTTAGTGTCATAAGTTATTTCCCAAGTCCCAACTTCCTGTCTCTTGACTAACCTAAAATATATACTTTTACACACAAATTTAATATAGGACTGGACTTAAGTGTCATAAGTTATTTCCCCAAGTCCCAACTTCCTGTCTCTTGACTAACCTAAAATATATACTTTTACACATGAATTTAATATAGGACTGGACTTTAGTGTCATAAGTTATTTCCCAAGTCCCAACTTCCTGTCTCTTGACTAACCTAAAATATATACTTTTACATACAAATTTAATATAGGACTGGACTTTAGTGTCATAAGTTATTTCTCATTTCTAGATATGGATCTGATAAATAGGAGGTTCTTATATTCTAACTTGTTAATATCAGTAAGTTGAGTATCTAATTTGTAAGAAACTATAGACTTTGTATTTGAACATCACAAACATCTAATTTGAACCAATGCTGCATTCAACATACCACGTGACACACAAAAATCGATGTTTAGGTGTGTGTTTTTAATATTTGCTTTTAATTAATAAATTTACTTATGTATAGTACTAAAATTATAATCTACAATTTGATACCAAACTTATTGACATACATTCATAAAATAATAGTTCAATAAAATTTTGAATGTGATGACATGGGCTTGGGTCTTCATTCCAACTTTACTTTTTTTAATGAGAATAGTGTCATCCAAGAACAGAATATGTTTACTTTCCTCAGTAATTCATCCACAACTATGTTGAATAATATGGGAGGTAATGGGTTACCTTTGTCAGACTTCACACTTGATGGAATTTTAGATATGATAATATTGTTCAGTCTAATATATGTTAAACAACGTTTTTTTATTAACTGATTATATATAGTTGCTGAAGTTAATATGAAATATTTTAAGAGCTTGTTCAACAAAAGAATGAAAAATGGAATCAAAGGCTTTTGCTAAATCCAAAGACATAATACAAATTTTTACTGTTCGATGACGAGGAACCCACTTTGAGACTAATAATGGTTGGAGATGGCTTGAATGGGTAATGAAGAATATAAGTTTAACATAACAGCAAATGTACATCGTTTCGACAAGGTTTTGTCAACATGAGTTTTTCTTCGTTACCCATTCAAGCCGTCTCCAACCATTATAAATCTTTACTGTATTTTCTTGTAGTTATTGTAGTATAATCCAATATTGGAAGTATCATCAAAAACTAGAAAAGCCACTTGTGCAGGATTCAGATGGATTATGTCTTGAAGCCTGTTGGACAGGAAGATATGAAATGCCCTAACCATAGTACACATTTAACTGATTGGTCTCCAACTGTTGCTTGTCTGAGCTCATCTTTTATTACATATTGATAATATCATACAACCTTTTAATTTTTACAGGACGATCCTTATTCCACAACAAACAATTAGGTAATACACATATAACATTTGATTACTTTAAGTATCTTTCATATTTCATCAAGGACTATAATACTAACACTATCAGTATTGGTTGGATATTTTAAAGTCATAGATTGGGTGATTATTAAGTTTAGAAGTATTAACAAAATTTTCAGTTTCCCCCAGTATGATAATTATAATTATTGCTCTCTAGGTCTTCCCTCTAATTCATTTATCATCCCACTGAGAAGTATGGAACTTAATGCAAATCATTCATTATAATATTGTTATTATTGAGGGAAAGCATAATTTTTATAGCCTTCAATCTTATTTGGTTACAGAGCCATAAACTAGAAAATCAGAACCCTTTTGCCTCACCCATCTGTAACATCCTCTCTTTAAGAAATTACCAATAGTTCTCTCTGACATTTAATGCTATATTAGTTATAACCAGTAGAAAGCCAAGATTTCAATTTAATATTATATTACATTGTTTTCTCTACAGAGAATTGTCTATTTCACTTCCAGTTCAAACTTTATTCCCACGCAAAATGCATTGATGAGCTTAGATGAATTTTTAACAGTTCTTATTGCATAGTTAGAAAGCCAGAAAAATTGATAGTTACAGGACGTTGTCTGCGTTTTGTGTGTTATTATTCTGATTTTTAGGTGCATTATTTAATATAAAAAATTAGTGCACTTGTACTATTAGTATATTAAACAAAAAGTAGGGTTAAGTTTTCATCAACAGTCGAGAGACAAAAAATGAAGACCTGGTTAT